AATACCCGTAATCAACAAACATTTCAAGTTCACAGAATAGTAAAAAATAACAGCACTTTCAAAATCCACAAATACAGAGTATATAATTTTTAAAACTGCTTTAAAAAATCAAACATGATGTTAATCATCAAGCGCTGTTTTAAACCTTTTTTTCATAAACTCCCAAAATTCATTATCACTTAAATGATAATGTTTATCATTAATGATGATGATCATTTGCTATTTCCGATTTTGATGAAATTTGGTATAAACGTGTAAACCTACATTAATTCGAACGAGTTCGCGATCCAGCATGATCGGACTATGGGAACGGGGGTTTACGGGGGGTTTTTATGGGGTAAAAATGGGGTTTTCCCATTTTTGACCCTAAAAACTTAGAATTTTGCAATTTCTTTTAAAACTATTTTGTAGAGCTTAAAAATAACAAATAATTTAGTATGTGAAGCGTTATCATGCGCCAAATAGTTACGGAGAAAATTTAAAAAAATTTAAATTTAAAATTCCCATGTTATTCTTATGAAGAATAAGTACAATTTTGTAGTTTGCTTGTTTATGAACATATTTAGATCAAATTTGGAAGATACATTTATTTCTTACTAAACTATTAACATTTACAAAAAAAAACACTTTTTTACCCTCCCTGTTGCCAAATGGAAATTAGCTTTGTCTGCAGGTTTGCTGCGGCGGGGGTATTGTGATTTTACCTCGTAAATCGTAATGTTATTTAACTTCCTATTCTATTTACAAATGTTAACATTGGCAATACTAATGTCCAAGAAGTAATTAGTATGAATTTGTATTTTTTTTTTAGTGTCCTTTATGCGCGTGTTTACATTAAATACCTTATTTTATTTTCCTACGTTATTTTATTAATTATTTCCTCTTTCTATAAATTGCACCAATGTTTTGGGTTAGTGTATGTGTAAAATTAAGCTCTATACCAATTGTACTAATACACAGGCAAGTGCTAACCACCTACATAGAATAAAAGAGGTATCGCATACAAATCAAGTTAAATGCAAGTGAAAACTTTTATCTAAGTTCTAACGTGGAAAGAAGACGAAGTAAATGTTAAAAATTTAAAGTACAATAAGTTGTACATGTTACTAATGACAAGTAGATGATGACAAAGCTGAAGCAAGGTTTAGAATACGTCAATGGCATAGTGAGCAGCTATTAATTACTGGTTCAAATCTACCTATATAACTTTCGTATCCAGCTAAACTGACAAGACAAGTATTTAAACTAAAGCAACATTTATGTCACATAAACTTTCATTGTATCAAAATTGAATGGAGAAAATATATTTCTGTCAGTAGCAATCTCTGTGAGAAGCTCATTCAACTATTGGCTATCCAGACCATATATTTCTATCAGTAGCAATCTCTGTGAGAAGCTCATTCAACTATTGGCTATCCAGACCATATATTTCTATCAGTAGCAATCTCTGTGAGAAGTTTATTCAACTATTGGCTATCCAGTCCATATATTTCTGTCAGTAGCAATCTCTGTGAGAAGCTCATTCAACTATTGGCTATTTCAGTAATCTGAAAGTCAAGACTTTTAGACTATTTACTTGATTTGTGCAAGTAGTGACTAAACTAATTACTGAGTTAACTTGTATCGATCGTTTAAAATCATTAGACGCGCATGGATTGGAATCGATCCAACGCACATGGTTCTTGATTGGATCAATTTTTGGTCGGCGAGGCGCCAAATTATTTTGCCAAGGAATACTGTGTCAAATGATTCTGTAAAGTGTCAATATTTTCCATGGCGAGTAAAAAAAAAATATAAAAGTCCTAAGAAGGATTTAGTTTATTTAAATTTAAATTCATTAATGATGAATTGAGCTATAAGCTAACAAAAAGGACCTCTCAGGTTGTTTTTGCCTCTTTCCCTCACTCACATTTACCCTATTTCGCCTGATACGGTACAGCGATATAGCGCTTTGAATTCTTTTCAACATCAATTTTATTTCTTTATTCGTCAACATCCACAATTTCTTGGTTTTTACTAATAAAAAATATAACAGAAATAATAAAAATAATTAAATTTACATTAAAATAAAGATAACTTAAACTTAAGTAGGGTTTAATTATTTAATGCTTATTGAATAGTATTTTGTATTATACGATTTGAATGTCATTAACATTTCTTGAAGGTTTATGAAGCATTTTTGTAACTAAATTTATCCATTTCATCATAGTTAAGGTAAGTTAAGATAGTAATATCGTCAGCTATAGATACAACTAAAATGACATTCCCATGTTAAATTTGTAGGAAAAAATATTGAATAAAAATTAACACGACTGAATAGTCGTAAAATTAATAAATTTCCCAATTTTAATCAAACTATATATAAGCATATATATAAGCATGGAAACTACACTCCCATAAGAATAACATGAGAATTTTAAATTTACACGATTCATTTTTTGTATATTTCCTACATAACTGTTAGACATACAACATCGCTTCAGTGTGCTATTTTAAGCCCTACAAAATGTGTTTAAAAGAAATTCCAAAATGTTATGTTTTGAGGGACAAAAATTGGAAACCCCAAATTCTACCCCGTAAACCCTCGAACCTTATATTTAGTCCGGTCATGGTGGTTTAAACTCAGGTTTACTCTATCTTTAGTCCGGTCATGGTGGTTTAAACTCAGGTTTACTCTATATTTAGTCCGGTCATGGTGGTTTAAACTCAGGTTTACTCTATCTTTAGTCCGGTCATGGTGGTTTAAACTCAGGTTAACTCTATATTAAGTCCGGTCATGATGGTTTAAACTCAGGTTTACTCTATATTTAGTCCGGTCATGGTGGTTTAAACTCAGGTTTACTCTATATTTAGTCCGGTCATGGTGGTTTAAACTCAGGTTTACTCTATCTTTAGTCCGGTCATGGTGGTTTAAACTCAGGTTAACTCTATATTAAGTCCGGTCATGATGGTTTAAACTCAGGTTTACTCTATATTTAGTCCGGTCATGGTGGTTTAAACTCAGGTTTACTCTATATTTAGTCCGGTCATGGTGGTTTAAACTCAGGCTTACTCTATCTTTAGTCCGGTCATGGTGGTTTAAACTCAGGTTAACTCTATATTAAGTCCGGTCATGATGGTTTAAACTCAGGTTTACTCTATATTTAGTCCGGTCATGGTGGTTTAAACTCAGGTTTACTCTATATTTAGTTCGGTCATGGTGGTTTAAACTCAGGTTAACTCTATATTTAGTCCGGTCATGGTGGTTTAAACTCAGATTTACTCTATATTTAGTCCGGTCATGGTGGTTTAAACTCAGGTTTACTCTATCTTTAGTCCGATCATGGTGGTTTAAACTCAGGTTTACTCTATATTTAGTCCGGTCATGGTGGTTTAAACTCAGATTTACTCTATATTTAGTCCGGTCATGGTGGTTTAAACTCAGGTTTACTCTATATTTAGTCCGATCATGGTGGTTTAAACTCAGGTTAACTCTATATTAAGTCCGGTCATGGTGGTTTAAACTCAGGTTTACTCTATATTTAGTCCGGTCATGGTGGTTTAAACTCAGGTTTACTCTATATTTAGTCCGGTCATGGTGGTTTAAACTCAGGTTTACTCTATATTAAGTCCGGTCATGGTGGTTTAAACTCAGGTTTACTCTATATTAAGTCCGGTCATGGTGGTTTAAACTCAGGTTTACTCTATCTTTAGTCCGATCATGGTGGTTTAAACTCAGGTTTACTCTATCTTTAGTCCGATCATGGTGGTTTAAACTCAGGTTTACTCTATATTTAGTCCGGTCATGGTGGTTTAAACTCAGGTTTACTCTATCTTTAGTCCGGTCATGGTGGTTTAAACTCAGGTTAACTCACTTTTACCAAATTCATCAAAATCGGATCATTTTTACCCGAGATATCGCACTAATGGACACATATATGAAATGATGAATGGATAGTGTTATTGGGATTTTGAGACATCAAGACGAAAAAGTAAATAGGCCTTAGGTTTAGGTTTTACCATGAGACCTACGGTAGTATCGTATTCCCTAAATGGTAGATGCCCAAAATCCGATAAAATGGTAAAATGTTAAGATAATATCAAGATTGTGCAGTATAACATAAAACACATTACATATATTTTTATAAATCAGGATCTTTTACATTCCTGTACACTATACCATTCTAAAATTTAATATAGTACAGTTAATTTTATTTTAAATGTTCTTTGGCATTAATAAATATTAACATATTTAATGTAAACCTCTTTAAAAGTGAGTATACATTCTAATTTCAATCACGGTTTCATGGGTAAACTGTTCACCATGAATTTTATTACTGTTTGATAATATACTCGACACAATTAAAACTCCGAATACGTAGCCAGTACTAAAAAGTGAACAAACCTAAAATTATTTTAAACTACTTGCAAGGTTTGTAAACTTTTAAAGTTCAGTAGAGGCTTCAAAGGCAAACATCCTGTACACTATACAGTATTATTTTTTTATAAATCGTTCCAAAGAATTTAATATTAGAAGATTCCTCCGTTAGCTAATAACCCATTTCTCTGAACAATGCATAACCACATTTCATGTAACTGTAAAATCATTCAGGGACACGTTTAAAGGACGTGTTGAAAACATAAATTCTTCATAAACCGGCCTACGCATTTTAATAAATAGTTTACTATTTCTTTTCCTCTTTTGTTTTCTAAAGAACCAACTCCTCCAAACATTTCAAATTATTCCAAAGCTAGAACATTTGTAGGATATATTAAAAATTTAAATTCTTCCTGAACAATTTTTACAGAGTTCTTCGTTTACAAGTTTAAATCATTAAATTCGCCCTATTTTATGTTTACATCCTGTTCTAATTAACCCACCCAAAACACATCATAACATGTCCAATCATTCGAAAACATATTTAGAGGACTTAAAAAAGCCTAAAAATGTCAATAAATATTTGACCAAATACCATATTATTTTCTACTACAATGGTTCAAGGGGGTACATAAATACTTACATAAAAAACAAAGTTTGTAGACCGACCTGTTAGCGGAGCGACGTTCTTAGACCGGGTGATGAATCAATGTGAGCTCCTCACCGTGCTACAAGAGACAAGTGCCCGATCCTCATACTTACCCATCGATCTTGGTCCCATCCCCTTAAGCCTTACTGCAGAGTCAATTGAATTGTCGCAAGTGACGTAGTGACGTATGCACTTGTCTTTTTCCTCCTATTTTTAGTTGTTCGTGAAAACGCCATTCAAATAGGTCTTTTCCTCGAGGAATTTCACTGCAGTTCAGAATCAGTTCACAGTCCGGCCGCAGGAGGATGAGAATCATAATCGAACAACTGATTATTGATGACAGAATCGCACTTAGTAGTGAAGTAAACCCTATTTATACGGAATGACAACTGATTATTGATGATGGAATCGCACTTAGTAGTGAAGTAAATCCTATTTATACGGAATGACAACTGATTATTGATGATGGAATCGCACCTAGTAGTGAAGTAAACCCTATTTATACGGAATGACAACTGATTATTGATGATGGAATCGCACTTAGTAGTGAAGTAAATCCTATTTATACGGAATGACAACTGATTATTGATGACGGAATGGCACTTAGTAGTGAAGTAAACCCTATTTATACGGAATGGTTGGAGATCCAAGTTGTCGGATTAATAAAATTCCAGATTAGATCAAATAATTTGAAGATGTAGAGAGGCATTGCCATTTAAGGGCAGTTTCCCGTTTTTGTACCTCACAACCGACACCTTGAATTTGGTGCAGTAAACCCTAGTTTTCCTGATCAATGAAATCCAGATAAGTAGAACAATTGTAATTTTTTATAAAACGTGGACTCAACTAGGTGTATTCACCAAAATATGGGCAAAGTGTAAAAATAAGCGACATGCACTTTAGGAATTTGGACTTAGGTTGAATAATTTGCAGCATTAATAGATTTAAGTGAATTAATTTTGTAAGATTTTTATTTTTTAATTAATAATTTTACAGTAACACGTATATGAAAATACGAATCCCATAGCACGTTCTACATAACAGTTCGTATAGGTTTCCTACTTGAAGGTTTTTATCATCACAGACCATTTTAAAAGTGTTATTTAACTTTCAATTTGCTAGATTATATTTTACGCTTTACGTTTATTTATTTAGGTTGAAATTACATAGAAAAACATCACAAATCCGTATCATACTGTCAAACATAATTGCCATGAAGGTCAGACGATGTTTTATCTTTGACGACTTGGGCTAGTGACCCTTAGCACCTCAGGGCCGCATGGCATGTACCCCTGGGAAACTCGTGTAGCGAATACTAATAATAGACTGAAGAGAATTATTGTTCCCCTAATACTGTACTAAGAATCAAATCAAATCATTTTTTTTTCACAGGGTAAAATCTGTATGATAGCTTTACTAAAACTATAAATAAAACTAAACTCTAAACAAATAATGTAACTACTAAATTTCAACAAAACAGCCTGTCTCAATTTTCTCGGAGAATCGGGATAAAAATCCTTTATAATAACTTATAGGGAGTGCATTCTATTAGTAGTCAACGTCCAGACGAATCTTGCAATAAAGCAAATCCCACTTGCACCTCCGAAAAAATCCAAATGTTTTTGTTTATATTCTTTCATTTAACAAAGTGGCCTATGTCAGTTTTGTAACACAAGTTTTTTTAGTAATCATTACACTTTACACTAATCATTACTCAACATTTGTAGAGAAACATGTTCAGTAACTATGTTTCACTAATCAGGATATAAGACGTATTTTTCTAATTTTATCACAAAGTATTTATTATTTTTATTCAAAGGCTTTTTTAGCGAGAGGTGATTCAGAAAAACAATTGCGTATTTCATCAATTGGTGATCTATTTCTATTTTATTATTATATTATTAAACTATTATATTATTAAAGTGATACAATCAAATTTTATGTAAACGGTTAAGACCATTTACCAAATAAAAATATAGGCATATAGCATATCAAAATGAAGCTTAGAGTGTGTAGATTTGACGAAAAGTATTGATATGAACGAACTCCCTAAGGGCTCTGCCCCACAGGCTGATTTCCAAAAGGCTACGCCTTGCATGTTTTGGAAGTTATTATTTGATTAATTTAGTGAACAACAGCTGGCCAATGCAATTGAAAATATAGTTTTTTGTTTACATTTTTGTTTACTTGTTTTATTATTAACTTTTATGTTCTTAAAATACGTGGTGAATGGGCAATAAAGCTATTTATAGCTGTTTGATACAAGTGAGTAACTAAAGGTGTTCGAAACATGATGACTATGAGATTAACAAACCCCGTATGTTGTTCGTTCCAAGAGGTTGTCACCGATCTTTAACAGATCGCAATTTCATTGAAAAGTATTAAAGTAAAGGCTTACAAGTGGCTTACAAGTGGGATAAAAAGATCTAGTAAACATAAACGGGAACTTTTTGAGCTCAGCAAACGATCCACAAATCTGCATTTTAAAAACTATGTTAAAAAGTACAGCAAAGTGCTCAGTAAATGTATAAGAACTGCTAAAATATTACATAATAAAAATAAAATTAAACAATCGTTCAACAAGACTAAAACTGCTTGGCAAATTGTAAAAACAGAAACGAATACTTCCGCCAGTAAAATAGACAAATTTCCATTTTTATCCGAATCCGTTAACATAAAAAATCAGTTAAATTATGTTAACAAATTCTTTACAGAAACTTGCAAACTTCTAAATGTTAATTCTGATCCTGAAAGCTCAATAAATTTTTTACAACAAGGGGTCCGACCTAATTCCATGTTAATATCTTTCAAAACTACAGATCCTCAAGAAATTCAGCAAATAATTAACGAATTAAAACCTTCCAAATCGTGTGGATGGGATGAAATATCACCCTTCATCATAAAACAATGTTCATCTTTTATTTCAATCCCACTTGCTCATTTAATCAACACTTCACTCTATACAGGTGTGTTTCCGGATGTATTAAAGCTCTCAAACGTGATACCAGTTATAAAAAAAGGCAATCCAAATGAACTAACTAATTATAGGCCCATTTCATTACTGCCGACATTCTCAAAAATTTTTGAAAAGATAGTTTTTAATAGGCTGTATGATTACCTTGATAAATGTCAACTCTTCAACATGAATCAGTATGGGTTTAGAAGGGGTAAAAGCACTGTAGATGCCATATTTAGTTTTGTATCTGAGGTTGCGGATGCTCTTGACAGGTCGCAGAATGTATCTGGTCTCTTCTGTGACCTGTCAAGGGCGTTCGACTGTGTAAACCATAATATACTGATTCGGAAGTTGCAGTTTTATGGTATATCGGGCAGGACCAGTAAATGGTTGGTTTCATTTCTATCCAACAGAAAACAGTGTATAAATTTGCAGTCACTGGGAATTAAATCTGATTATAGATTAATCACAGATGGTGTACCTCAAGGGTCCATTCTTGGACCCTTACTCTTCCTGGTTTATGTCAATGACTTGCCCATGACCTTAAATTCTAAATTGGTTATGTTTGCTGACGATACTTCTGCTATCTTCACCCATCCAGATAAATCAATGTTTCCACAGCTTATCAAACAAGAATTCCAAAAGCTGGAAAGTTGGTTTCAAGCTAATGGACTTTTACTAAATCAATCCAAGTCTCTTTTAATGAACTTTAAAAAAAATTATTTTAATAACAATTTTTCTCACGAAAACACCACTCTATCTTGCAACCTTGCCAACTCCACCAAATTTTTAGGAATAACAGTAGATCATAAATTAACCTGGAAAACTCACATAACAGACGTCATCAAAAAGTTAAATAAAGCATATTTTGTAACTCTCATTCTTTCTAGATCAGTTGATATTTCTACTCTTATGATGGTATACTATGGCTATGTTTATCCTATTCTCAATTACGGAATTATTTTTTGGGGAAATTCCGACAAAAATAAAAAAGTTTTTAAATTGCAAAAAAGAATAATTAGAACAATTTATTCTATCAAAGCTAGGGGTTCTTGTAAAAATACATTTAAAAACAATAATATCCTTACTTTTCCCAGTCTGTATATCTACAATTTATTAATTTTTATGAAACAAAATATTTCTAAATTTTCTGTTAATTCGGACAATCATAATTATAATACCCGACACAAAAGCTGCCTTTTATACCCTAAACATAAATCCTCAACTTTAGAATCTTCTCCCCACTACTCTGGTGTTAAGTTTTACAATAACCTGCCTGATTCGATTAAATCTGTAGCTTCCCTTAAGTCGTTTAAGAAACAGTTATTTAAGTTTTTATGTAGTAAATGCTGTTATAAGGTAAAAGATTTTTTCCACTGACTCTTGTACATTAGTTTTAAGATATTTGTTTTATCACGATTATTGTATTGACGCTATTTATGTATATTGTATACTAAATGAATAAAGGATAATTTGATTTGATTTGATTTGATTTAAAGTTTAAAAAAAGATGTCGTGAAAGAGAGCTGCGTGTTCAGGTACAACCTCGTCCAACCTTAGGACGTAAGGTATGAAGGTTCCACTGCTTTTAACATCCTTTCAGATGACAATTTCTCGAACTTGGGCCCTTTAAATGAAATATAAAGTCAAAGTTGATTAAATTAATTCAATGGTGGTTTCTGATCATCCGTGAATTCGCGGGTAGATCCTCCCCAGACAGCACAAGGATATTTTATAAATATTTTTAAAATATATATCCATCTTAAAAATATTTTATATATTTTAATATTATTTTTAAAATATATTTTTTTAATTTTTGAATAATATTTTAACATAATAGTTTTAAAATATTTTAAAATGTTTTTTTAATTGTCTTAAAAATATATTTTGTAAATATTTTCTATTTTTCGGTTTAATATATTTACAAAATATTTTTAATATATTAAGACAAAATAATTTAGCTTTTTATGTAAAAGATATTTTTAAAATATTTTATTTACCATAAAAAATAGCTTTTAAAAAGATTTTTATAGAATTGTAACTGTAAAAATATTTTTAAAAACCCTTTTTATACCTTTATAAAGAATATTATAGAAATATTTTATAAATAGCCTGTTTAAGT